GAATCTCTTACAATATATACGAGGGCTCCAATTACAAGTGGATTTGTTGAGGTCCTCATGTGCCACATTTATGAGATTTCGATTTCAATGTCTTTGTACCTTGATCTATTTTTCATCATCAAAATTTCATTCGTCTGCAGGGGCAATCATGTCAATAAGAAGGACCATTTTGTATTTGCGGTTTCTAATCACAATGCCTGGGCGATTAGCTTTGAGTGTTCAGTCTGAGTGCATTGTAAAATCTTATAACAAGTCTTACAGATCCTATTACCGTAACCTGCTCTGCCGATTCCTTTCCGTAAAATTTGCAGAATTTCTATTGCAGTTATTTGTCCCACTCTGTCTTACCGGGTTTTATATTCAGTGGGTACCAATACGGTGAAACTTGATACAATATGGTCAATTGTTTCTGGATATTTATCATAGGTTCTGCATTTTGACAAACATAGTGTTTCCGTATATGTGATGGTAATATCTAGGTAACAAGCACTGGTTCTGCTCCGCAAGAATAAAACCTTCAGTTTCAGATTTTATCCCTGCACTATGTAACCACTGAATTGTACGGGTTTTTCTGCAGCAGTTTGTTTGATACAGGCAGAATATTGATGTGATTCGGTTTATCATGCCACCATTTGTGTACCTGGTCGATTGCATATGCATTTGCATTTTTTTAAAATAATCTGCAGCTGCAGTTGGTGTTTTATGTTTTACTTACATTTCTTCACCCAATTGAAACTCTATTTTGAACTTGTTGTCTTCGTCTATTACTGAATAAACTTTCTTACTTCCTTTATGTTCTTTGACACATATTATCATACAGTCTTCTGTAGCTTCCAGATAACTTTGGAACCTAATTATTTTAGTTTTGTAAGACAGTTCTTTATGAACTAATCCTCTGCCTACTTCAGATCTGAGCACATAGAGACGATCAACATCAGCCTTAGGGTGATGCATGCGATGGCAAATGATTAGCATTCTCGTTTTGGAATCCATTCGCTTAATATCAGCTGTAGTCCAATTAAGGATGTTGAAACTCTATTGCAACACGAGGTCAGTCAAGGTGTCTATCGCTGATATTATGATTTTGAATTCAGTTGGGTATTAATACAAGATATATGTACTATTTCTTTTTTTTAATTTTCACCTACATGCTGTATTCCAATCCTAGGTACCTATAGAGTTCTTCTTGTTACAGTTCCCTAATCTATATCTACTGAGTGTGTTTCTGTTATTTTCCCGTTCTAGAATATTACTTTTATACATTTATCTAATCCGAAATCCATACTTATGGCGTCACTGAAACATTTTACTGTATGGAGAAAACCGTTAACTCATTGTTATCTTTGTCAAAGAGTTTGAGACCGTCCATGTAGAGTAGGTGATTGAATAACATCTTGTTTAGTTTGTATCCGTAGCTATTATAGTTTACTTCATGCGTAAGCGGGATTAAGGACAGACAAAACAGAAGGTGTGGCAGGAAGTCTCCTTGAACGATTCCTTGTCGGACATTCAGGAAGTTTGAGTTAGCAGATGCCCTTGTGTGATTTATGTATGATGTGGTTTTCCATATTCCCATGAAATTTACTATCACCTTGTAGACTTTGTACATTTCCAAAGTCTTCAGAATTCAAGAGAGTTGCACACAATCAAAGGCTTTACAGCAATATACTCCACTGTGTGCTGATATGTGTACCTCTATTCCTGGAATTTTCTATGATCATTTTGTTTATGAATAGTTGATCTTTGAAAAAAATATGAACGTCCCGGCATGAAAAAATAAGTGCGATTCGTCAGGAAAGACGTGAGCAATTTATACATAATTGACAGACATGTTACTTGCATATAGTTTTTCGAGCCCTCTGTTTCACCTGTGTTGATGGTAGATACGTAATACGTTCACAGATCCAATCTGGGATTTCACTGGGATTATTAATAAGCATTGAGAGAGTATGTGCAAGGGTTTTATTGATTGTTGGCAGATGTTAGTTATGTGCCATAGGTGATATAAGCTTAGGCGATCATGTGTCTTTCCATACACGACTGATAAGGTAGCTTTTTTTCCCAGAGTAGTTTGACATTTCTTTCGGTGGTAGACCAGTTTCCATCCACGTCTATAAAACTTGATCTGTCCTGCTATTTACCTATAGCTGGGAGAAGATATCCATTACACCACAGTGCCTTTTAGACGTTATCCATTTACACCACCGTGCCGCCTGACGAGAGATTATAAAGACAGAAATTGGGTACCTTTTCATTTTCTGTATTTTGCTTTTCCAATTTCGCTGTAAAATTTCTTAAGATCCGCTTGGAATATTTTATTTTGTCGATAGAACCTATGTATCATTTTATTCTCTCTACTTTTAACTTTAGTTTCTGTTTTAGCGTTTCTTTGATTGATGGAATTTCATTTAGTGATTTAATTTAATATCTCCGCTTGATCTTCTTGTATTTGCGTGTTGTGAGACATGTGTTTCCTGTGATCTCATTTAGTATCGATATCTCACATCTGATTGGCTTTATTTCTCGCATCTCGTGCTGACTCATTATTATTATTATTATTATTATTATTATTATTATTATTATTATTATTATTATTGGTTCTGTTGTATTCTAATTTTTTTTCCAGGTTCTAGCCAGAGACCTAAGGTCGGAAATGACATCTTGGAATCTTCATTGAACATTTTTGTAAAAATAATTGATAATAAAAGTAAAACAATCTAAGACTACCCGCGTTTTTCATTGATAAACACTTCGTAAGCTGTGATTTATACTTTTGAGAACAATCTTTTATATATCTTTAAGGCATGTGCTGCTAGCCATCCCTTCAATGAATATATCGAAACATTTTCCTGTGAAACCGATACCTCAAACACAACAGCAATTATTGATGTCTTCGTGTGGTACATTTTTTTTTAGATTTCCACATGAAGATCCTTTTATTTTGATAATGTTTGGAAGAATATTCAAAGATACATTACAGTCCGCAGGAAATATAATGTCAATAAGAAAATACATTCGGTGTTTGCGGTCTTTGATCAATATGTCTAGGCAATTAGTTTTGATAGATCTGTCTGTGTCTATAGTAAATTCCCATAAAATTGTTACTGGGCCTATAACACTAATCGGGTCTGTGTGTTCCTCATACCAGTTTCTCACAGTTTCCTTCCCGTAAAAGTTATAGATTTTTCAGTATACATATTGACACAATCTCTCATGCCGTGATGTGGTGGATGCTAATAGCGTGCAACCCGATAAAAGTTGGGCAATTATTTCTGGATATATTTCAAGGAATTAACATTTCATGTTAACAGAATTTTCCATTTTGTGTACTTAGCACAAGTTCTAGTTAGCAACTATTGGTCACGTGCAGCAAGTGTAAAAGCTTTAGTTTCAACTTTTAACCGTGAACTATGTAAATACTGATGAGTATGAGACTTGCCTACATATGCTTGTTTGTCACGAACATATAATCATCATCATCATCATCATTATTATTATTATTATTATTATTATTATATTTCCTTTGATTTCAGGGTTGTACGCATGTATTTCCGGGTCCCGCCCAGAGACCTAAGTTTATGATATTTTCCACTGACCTATCAAAAAAAAAAACAAAAAAAAACATATTTTACATAGATAAAGCCCTTGGTAAGCTGTTAGCTGTACTCTTAATGACAATTTTGTTCTATTTCTTTACGGCATGGGTTTCAAGGAATCCCTCCAATTAGTCTAGTGGAATTTTTTCCAACCAATCCGAGGGCTCCAGATACAACAGGGATTGTTGATGTTCCCATGTACCACATTTTTGAGATTTCGATTTCAAGGTCCTTATATTTTGGTAGCTTTTTGAAGATCTTCAAAGATGCATTACATTCTGTAGGGATTCCCATATCAATAATAAGACACTTTTTTGTTAGCGGTCTGTAATAACAATGTATGCGTGGTTAGCTTTGATTGTTTTGTTTATGTGTATTGTGTTGTCCCATAAAATTGTAACAGGTCATATCTCTCTAAGCAGGTCTGGTTGGTGTTCATACGAATTTCTTTCAGTTTCCTTCCCAGAGAATTTGCAGATTTTCCGGTGCAGATATTGGCCCACTCTGTCGTGCCGGGGTTTGTATTCAGTGGGTGCCAATACAATGCAACCTGATACAAGATGATCAATTGTTTTTTGATAGTTTTCACAGGATCTGCATTTTGGGCTAACACAATGTTTAGTATATATTCTTGATAATTTCTAGTTAACAAGCATTTGTCCTGGGCAGCACGGTTAACAACGTCAGTTTCAGCTTTTAACCCCGCACTAAGTACCCACTTATGGGTACGGTGTTTGTCTACATCAGCTTCTTTGTTACGGGCAGTGTATTTGATATGACGCGATTTAACTTGCCATTGTTTCTTTATCTGGTCGGTTGCATTTGTCTTTGCTTTCTTTTGTTTAAGTATTTTGCATCTTCAGTCGGTGTATTATGCTTTGCTTGTATTTCTGCACACATTTGAAACTCCATCTTGAACTTGTTTTATTATTATTATTATTATTATTATTATTATTATTATTATTATGTTAGAGCACCTATTCAAAAAAAAACAGTTTATAGACATCCATGATCATTAAGATTTCTTTTTAAATAAAACAGACACAGAGTAGCACTGTTGGAGTGGAGTCGATTCAAAAATAAATAACCAGACAAGAGTTATCATTTGCATTAATATGAGTCAAGTCTGGAACAAACCCCAGTGTCTATATGAAGATTGTAGCATCGGGGATATTTTTCCTGTTTTTGCCATCTTATATTTTAACAGAGACGTTGTTATTTTGTTTATTAACATTGAAGATATATTTTATTTATTTATTTATTTGGTGATAGGATATTTTATCCATTTCCCAGTTTTGTGCAAATGTAAATGATAATTTTAAATTCTCAAAGAATATATCTCCAAAAGCAGACTTTTAAATAAATACTTGTAAAAAATAATTTGAAATGTAAGATCCTATAGACATGCCTGTAAATTCTCTTATCTCACGTTCTCAGAAATTTCTCTCAATTTTTTAATGCTTTTAACTGATTCATTTTTATTTCTTTTCTTAGATTTTGTTTTCTTATTCAATTATTTCTTTGTCGGCTGCAATTTTTCCACCCGAAATCTTATTGAAAATAGCATTTAATAACATTTAATATTCTTTCCATTCCAATTCTTTTTGATAACCTTTTGTCTGTCGTAATATTGGTAGGTTTATGGTATATGGCAATTGTCGAATCTTTCAGTATTTGTAGACGGCAAATTTATCCTACTCCTCATATTCTATATCGTCATATTTCTTATCTTTAAAATTTTCTTCTTCCCCAAGTTCATCCCCAGTCGTTGCGTTACCATTAACATATTATTTGTCTTTCTTTTTGAATTAGACTCTTTCTTCTTGTTCTATTTTTTTCTTTTATATTTTTTTCACCCTATTACGCCTATCCATTTTTCTTTGCCCATTTTTTATTTGCATCGTTTGTTTCCTTTAATTCGTCCTCTCTTCCACATTTTCTATTTGGTTATTTTTTTACGATTTCTTTCTCTTTTCTTCTTGTCTTCTACATTGGATAATTGTTTCTTTTCTATAAGTCCTTTCTGCTTCTCTTTAATATTTTCTTTCTTTTTCTGCTTGATTTTTTTTATCAATATGTTTTTTTTTTGTTATTTTTCCTTCAACTTCTATGATTAACCGCTATTAATTACTTTACGTCTTTATTCTTCTATTTTTCTCCATATTTTCATTTCTTTCTTATCTATTTTTTCTTCTTCATTTTACTTTAACCCTTTTTTATTCTTCTTCTTCTATTTTTCTTCCTCGTCTTTATTGTTTGGCTTAAACTCATATTCATTTGCATCGTTTTCTTCCATTAATTAAACTTCTCCGCCATAATTTATATTGAGTTTTTTTTTTTTAATTTTTTTTTAACTTCTTCCTCTTTCCATACATTTTCTTCATTGGATGTTTTTTCTTTTTTTACGATTCCTTCCTTCTAACTTTTTTTTTTATTTTCCTACTTCATTTTTTTCATTTTCCTACCTCTCCTTCATTTTCTTCATTTTTCTACATCTTCCTCCATTTTTATCTATATGCTTTTCTCATTTTCTTTCATCTTCTCGCATTGTTCTGTTTTTCTTCATTTCTTCTATTTTTTTTATTCTTCTTCTCATTCACATCTTTTTTCTCATTTTCTTACCTTATTTTATTTGGCGTTTTTTTTTAAATTATTTTTCTTTTAATTCTCTTCGTTGTCATTAATGTTTGGCTTAATCTCATATTTTCCTTCGATTTTATTATTCATTCTCTTTTTTATTCCTTTTCATTTTTTTCTGCTGTTCATTATCTATTTATTTTCTTCATTTTCCTTTCTTTATATTAGCCTGTTTTACTTCATCATTATCCTAAACGCCTACTTAGTTTTTTCTCACCGTTTTTTTTTATTCATCGTCATTTTTCTATTTCCGACTTTAGCAATCAATTCTCAAATGTCTTCACTTAAAGACTTCTCATCTGGCTAAAGGGTGATATTTAAGTTTTTTTTTTATAATTACAGTCCTTACTATTTTAACTTGAAAAAAAGTTCAGCATACATTTCCTTTCTTCTTTTTTTCATTTTCTCTCTATTTTCGTTGAATCTTCTTAAATGTTATTTTTCGGGCCCTTTAATGGAAGTGTTTTTATTTATATGGCTGTTACCAAATGAAACCGCCGAACAAGCCAGGTACGAATTAGAAACTTTAAAATCAAGCAACTAAAAGTAGTTCACTATTTTAGAAGTATTATAGCACACGATGAAATATGCTTTACAGAAATACGAGGACGCATTATAATAAAGATAGATGTATGATAAAAGTAAATTAAAGTAATAAGTAACAGGAACAAATGTGTACGGACAAAGAAAAGAGTGCTGAATACTGATGTAATGTCTATATTATAATATGGTAGTCAATGCTGAACAATTCCATCGTAGTGAAGCGGAGATATAGGAAAAAAATATGTAATTCTGTAAAAGTATTCGGAGAACACTATGAGCGGAACATGGTGGCAAAAAAAGCAGCCTCAAAAGGGAATCAAAAGAAAATGAACATATGTTCGTAGAATGAGAAAGAAATAGTTGAAATATCTGATAGATAATAGAAATTTATTGATTCCTTCATTTTGTACAGCTTTTCAACCATTTGTCCATAATTTAGATACAGAAAGTAATTTTGTAGTAATTGCTTTTGGACCATAATAATGGTTTAGCGATACAAGTCGAACTAATGAACCCATCGCTGTAGGAAGAAAAGATGGCACCATACCTTTTCCAAGGGTATTTGCGCGTAAGTGAATATAACGAATACGACCTGAATTCGAACTTGGCTCTCCAATTAACATTTTAGAGACATTATTCATTACACCATCCACATACCCAACTTTGCAGCAGCTGCTATTATTAAACGTTCAAAGATCTAAGTACTGACCAGGTTCAATGTTGTTTCACTTTACTGATCTTCCGGGAATCTGTTTTTCAACATCATATGGCCGTAAGACTAGATAATGAAGAACGAAAGCTTAGTGAATTTGAGACACAGAAAATAGTAAAAGCACACCTACTCCTACCTTTGATATTTGGTAATCGATGGCAGAAATGGTAATGATAGTAAAATGTCACCGTTACTTTTTAATACTGTGGAGAGTCATGATCGTTTCAACAGAAACAATTTCACCTACCTAATAACGGCGAAATCACACACTCTTTTGCACATAGGCCATAATAGTGCCATTAATTTTTATTTAGATTTTTTTTGTACGTGATAGCTTCGCAAGGATCATTCAGGGTTTTTCGGGACCCTCCCATTTTGAAAATTTCATGATCAAAAAAATTATTTAAATGATAATTGAAACTTATGAAAGTGATGGTTTATAAGAAAACCTGCTTAGAGCCATCGGGATACTGCTTCATAAAACAGTTGAAAAGCAATTGAAAATCCTTTAGACAATTAGCTTCAGGCACCGCTTATCTAAGTTTATCATCTACATGTTGCTGAATACAGCGCGTAGCAGACGTGAAACAGAATCAGTGAAAGAGTAAGGTTCAGTAAAAATACTAATATTTTATATTAACGGGTAATAAACTGTCAAAAGACCTATACTTATGCTTCATAAACTAGCAAAAGTAATTTGATAAATTACGGCCCAAACATGTTTTGGAACTCCTCGGAAAACCTGATGTTGTTTTTGGGGGGACATGTTTGAATTTTCCGGAATATTTACTAGAAGCAAACGGAATTGAGCTACTAGACAGAAATTGAAATGGGTGTAAGAATTTGTCTTCTGACTGGATTTCTTCAGTCCAAACAGCAAAGCAATCCTAAGATAAATGAATATCCTACCAGATTGACTGTTGACGAAAACAATCAGAACAACGTAAGAAAGATGATACTATGCTGATATCAAAACCCAAAAGAAAATTGCATGAATTCCTTAACAATACAGTGAAAGAAAGCAGGAAGAAAAGACTATTAATTGTAACATGACGCAATCCATATCAAGTAAGAGAGACAACGCAAGGTACGTGATTTGTCTACAAACATTGACAAATTTATTAAGAGACTTGAAAAAAAAATGGGTATGAATGTGTGCCATAGAAATACTATAAATACATTGACTTCATTATAATGTCGGCAAAAATGAACGACAAAAAAGACACAACGATGTGATTCTATAGATTAATTAACATATTAGTTTGCTTTTTATAGGTGATCAAACTTTTGTTGTTTTATAGAAAAAATACAAAATTTATCATGAACAGGACAGGTAAGAAAAATGGTAATCTTGATGGCAAAATAGAATCATACGATAGGAATTAATATTTTTTTTAAATCATCCCGCTATGAACCTACTAGGAGGCTCCGTCATGGGTATAAGGGTAAACTACATCCGCGTCCTGGGAAAACGATAAACTAGGCCCAACAGCAAGGCTTCTGATCCGGAAGTTTTGAGGAGCGTGGGATAACGTCTAAATTCAGTTATTCCCAGTTCCACTCTGATCCGGGTTGGCAGCACCTGGCGTTTCAGATATAGGCAGACAATTGATCCTCAGATAGGGATCAGATTGCTGTGGAGGTGTAAAATTATGTATTCATGCAAGCAATATTTTTTGAGGGAAAAATTATCACCAGAAATACACTTTCGAGAAAAAAATTACCAGCAATAAATTTTGGTAGAAAAAATTATTACTAGCAATGCGTTTATGAAGGAAAAATTATTGCTAGCAATATATTTATAAAGGAATATTATTGCAAACAAATTATTAGCAGCATTACATTTTTGGAAAAAAATATTACCTGCAATAGACTTTTTGCGAAAAAATTACCTGCAATAGATTTTCGAAGAAAAATATTACCAGAAATAGAATTTTTGAAGGAAAATATATTACCAGGAATACATTTTTGAAAAAAAAAAATATTACCAGCAATGAAAATTGTCGGCATTAAATAACCCACTGCGGTTGATATACCGTAAAATAAAACAAAACAAACAAACGAAACAAACACACAAACAAACCACTAGGACTCAGGATGGGATGAAATAGAAGACTTTAGAAACAATTAAATGAGCAAAGCAATATAAAGGTTCAGGATTCATGGAGATAAAAGTTGGCGATTGACGTTGCATTGAACTTTCCGATGATTGTAGACAATGGGGGTGGAGCAAGAAATCGGAAGTGACTTCCACAGGTGAGAAGAATGAAAGAACTTAGAATAGAAATGGCGGTTGTATCTAGCTAGTCCAAAAAATAAAACATTGAGTCGTAGCTATCAATCTAGTCCCTCGCTTAAAACCCTGTAGTCAAGGCACCAGGAAAAAAAGCTCCTCAGAATAGTTGCCTGGAAATGACGGGGGAATCAAGGTCACGCCTCTGAGAAAGATACTGAAATTGAGATCAATGATATTACATTACGAGTCCTTTGTATTTTGTCAAGAATATCGATATTTTCAGCAGGAACACACAGTATGAGAAACAGAATAGATATGACAGCAATAGTCAATGCATGTAAGGATGGTAGATTTATAAATGTGCAAGATGATTTCTGATGCTAAAAGATTTCTAGCACGATAAAATGAACCAAGATTCCTAGCAACAGAGAGAGCTATTAACACAATATAGACGTGTTTCATGTCTGTGGAAAACGTAAGCTCAAGAAACCGTAGTGTTTCTCTCCTGTTTTTTAACATTCCCCCATACAAACGACAGGCAAAAATGGTAGAATACTGTCAATTAATAAAGGAATATTAAAAAAAAGTATAATTAATATCAGATATCTATAGACATAAATAAGTAAAATATTGACAAAAAATATTTTACGCAATAAAGCCTGTGTATTAATTTTAGATATTGTTTATTTATCAACTTATTTATATCCGAAGACAGAAGCCGAAATATTTCAAAACCGCCATGAACGTGCTTATTAAAATAAGTTGCATAATAATCTCAAATCATTCAAATGACTCATGATTCTACTAATATTATTTATGTAATAATCTGTTTCTCTGAAGAAAAATAATGTCGAGAGACATGTTCCACCTCTTCACGTGTAAGTTACTAGTGACTTGTTAAGAAAAACGTTTTGGTAATCAATGAAATAATTTGTAATCAGATGGTGCGAGATCTTGAGAACGAGAAACGTGTAAAATCTTTGCCAACCGCGTTCTTCCCTATTTCTCTTTCTTTCATGGGTTTCTTTTTTTTCCTTCTTTTTTTCTACTTTTTTATTGTCTATTTTCTTTCGCTTTTGTTTGGTTTCTTTCTTTCTGTCATTTTGCCTCATTTCTTTTTAGTCATATTTTATTGACCATTTTTCTTTTTTTTCTGCTACTAACATTTCCCTTTGTCCGAACATTTCTCTTTCAATCTCCATTTCTATTGTTTATTGAACTTTTCTTTTCCTTGACTTATTTATCGATGCCTACCGATTGACATTCATTCTTCTTCATTTTCTGCATACATATATATTTTTCTTTCCCTTGCCATCTTCTTCATTGTCTGTTTTCTCATTTATTTCTTTTCCTTTGTTTTTCTTCTTTCTCTTTGTTTCCAATTTACATTTTATTGGCCATTTGTCTTATTTCGCTTTTTGCATTGTTTATTATTATTTTCTCCTTTTTCTTTCCCTCTTTCTTTATACATTATACTTAATAAGTATCTTGTCTTTTTTCTTCCTTTTCCTCTCCACAATTCATAATTCTATTATTTTTATACTTATTTTTTAAACTATTTCTTTTTTTATTTACTGTTAGCCAATTTATTCTGACTTTCGTTCTCCTTTTACATCGTTTTCAATATTTGTTATATTCTTCCTTCTTCTTCACGGGTTTTCTTCTTCCTTATTTGCTTTCCCCTTATTTCATACATTGTCTTTTGCTGGCCTTTTTTTCTTGTTCCTCTTTTTATTTACATCTTTATGCTTTAGTAACGCGTAACCCGTTTAAAAAAGGCGTTTATGTAAAACATGCAATACTTGTTAATCAGATGGTGCGAGATGTTGAGAATAAAAAAGTGAGGAATTTTGGCCAATCACGTTCTCCAATCGTTTAAGTTATCGTCTTTGTACTATCACGATGGAAAATCACACCTTTGCAGTTGACGAAAGTAGGCCATTACCGCTTTCATTGCTGTTTAAACGCTCTGTTGGCAATAGATATATGCTGTCGTTCTAACATTGTCTCAGAATCTATTACACGTACGCAGGTACACGAAATATTTTTACTTGAATCGGAGTCTTTCTTTTTTGTCTGCATTGCCATATTTATCTCCACAAAGCAATGTCTACTTCGATTTCTATACTACAAAATTAACTATTTCTTATAACTAGCCAATAATATGCCTTGTTTTCACGAGAGGTCTGAATGTTTTAAAAGATTTTATTATTGATTTACAGGTTGATTTTATCTAACATATTGTATTAGTTTCCACGTTGAGGCATTTCAGATAATAGGGAATTATTTTTTTTTCGTTGCTTCAGATTAAATTAACCCATTTATTAATTTTTTGCTTAGCTTCAGAAAGGCATATTTCGCTATTGCATTCTGGCCTCGCATTTCAGTGTAGCTTTTTCCGTCTAGTATTTGAACGATGGGGTCATAGAGGATGCAAACAAAGAGGAAGCTTTTACTTAACATAAGGAAGAGGCAGATGGAATTTCTGTAATGAGAAAGAAGGGCCTGGAGAATCTGATACTCACAGTTTGAATAGAGGGAAAAAGACACCAGGAAAAGCAACGCATGACATACTGGTCGGACTTAAGCGAATGGATGAAAGAACGTAGTTTGGAGGAGATGGCAGAGGCGCGAAAATTATTAAAAGCTAGAAGGGTTGGGGGGTGGAATTGGAGAGCCATTATCGCCTACGCCCTGAAAAGACATGGCACATAGGAAGAAAGAAAATGTTTTAAAATAACCTCTTATATATTTAATGTTTTTTCTTGTTGGATTGTAGTGTCTCCATCTCGTAGTTAGCTTCTTGGACTGTTCCTCTTGCTAGCAACCGTATATACTGTTTCCTTACAATTGTCGTTTAGCCCGTTTATCTCACTTTTATATAATAACTTTTGTAGGATTTCCTACAGATTCCTTTCTGTATGTCATCTGAACATCTAATGTTGTTAAAGTTGTGGCCGCCAATAATCAATATTGGAAGGTGTTCAATTCTCTCAAAATCACCTTAATATAAATGTTGAATAAATCCGGTGAGATGATGCACCAAAGATTTCCCCCACTTTCTATATTTGGGTAATTACTGAATACATTTTCTATCCGTATGCAGGCTGGTGGTCCGCGTATATATTGTGGGTTATTCTAATATTTTACTCATATATTTGAAGTATTCTATTCTAAATCTTACAACCTTTTCCGAGCCAGTTATTACAAATACAATTTCTTTTAGAAACTGAGCAAATGTATTAAAAGATCGGAATATGTACACAGGACAAAAAAGAAAAGAAATTCGTGTTAAACTCTTATTTATTATCTTGTCTTCGAGTTAACAATGAGTACATGAATATTTCTTCATAGATAAAGAAAAGACTTGAAACTTGGATTACGACTGAAATAAGCTGTTAATACCAAGGGCAGAATTTGTATGCAAGGTGTAATATTCAATCAACAAAAGAAACTGATGCTGAAAAAATAAACGAGATTAAAACTGAGAGATAATAAAGGAAACAGTTCTTATACATTGTGCCATTCACTGGTAATGAGGCGGGCGAAACAGTTAACAAACCGTATTTGACGTAATCGAGGGAAGAGCAATGACCACAACTACAAAGGTCCAAGTATTACTGACAGCTACAGATGATAGGTAGTTGTGGACTGAGTGTTCTGTTTTCTACGGCTTACAAACCTTTGCTAGTTATTTATAGCTATGATATATTTTAACTTTGTAAGAATACTTTTAGAGATAATAAAGGTTCAATGATGCAATGCTTACTATTTAACTGGGAAGATAAGTGGTAGATTCATACATTTCCAAAGGATATCTACGCAAATGTGAATATAACGATCCTAACTGTATTGGAACTCGTTTTTCTGATTAACAATTCCGAGTTATTATCCATTACACCACCCACACATTGAAGCTTAAAACACTTGGTATTCGAAGCGGAGACCCATCTAGAGGAAGACATAGAGAGACATGATCATTTACGTTCAGAAAATATGCATAAAACAAGAGGGTTATACTTCAGCATTATTACAATTTCTCATAAAACATTATTTTCCCATCCGCCATTATTTCTTATTAACATAAATATTACTTTTAGTATTTGAGTTGCTAGCCTTCATTTTTATTTCCATAAGCATCGAAATTAATAGCACCCGGATAATATAGAGAAGTTCTACTTTGCCTTCCGTCAGAAATAGAAACTGTTTCCTGATAATAAAATGGTTTTCTGTTTCGATTACAGTTGGAAGACACACCTATTACTATAGTTGGACTTCTAGATCTTGGCGGGTTGTTATAAGTTTCACTGTTTAAGACAACAAATATAAAAAATAACGTTAATAATAAGGAATAGAGTATTATATACCTGTACTTTGGAGACACTTCAATCTTCGGGCGATTCAAGTTAGTCATTATATTTGTCGAATTAATCATTAAAACATGGTTATATTAGGCATATAATTTTACAATGGCGAAACCCACATTCAAAATATTATATATATATATATATATATATATATATATATATATATATATATATATATATATATATATATATATATATATTCATTGATGTATGTTTCATTAAATAATATAGACACGTTTTGTCCATTTATCTTAAGTAAATTCTTTTCATATTATCTGATAAGCTTAATAACATTATCATTGAAAGGCGAAAAGAAATCACAATATTGATACATGTTTTTTAATCTAATCTAAGCTTTCGGCTTACATCAGCTATTATCAAAGATGACAATTACATTTCAATATATCAAACAATAAACGGACGAAACAATAATGTTCATCTGTTTTTGTTGCAAGAAAAATTTCAAGGCAACGACAAACTCATGTATAAGATAATGCGGAAGCGAAAATCGCGTCGCAGCTCGTGACGTCACACATGACCACGCGAGAGGGAAAACGAGAAGTATTAAGTATGTGAAGCCGTTGGTATAAATCAATTGCTTCTGTTATTAATTATTGGCATTTAAGAATATTTGTGGATATTTCATAGTTTATTTTTTGATATATATATATATATATATATATATATATATATATATATATATATATATATATATATATATATATATATATATACATAGAATTAGATATTTCAACAATAAACTATATTAATCGAATACAAATATTTCAATAACTGATTATTTTAAATACAGTTTCTATTTATTAAATATCTTAGCCTTATCTTACTATAAAATTTTCATAATTGTACTTTTCTTAATTCGATATAATGCATATATTGTTGTTAAATATTTATTTATACGTATTTTTTTATACGAAAATAAATAAAAAAATATATGTATTTTATTTTAAATTATTTCATTGGAAATCAGAAAGAAAATAGCATCACATTGGAGAACCGAGCCTCGATTCCATCCCAATCAACGAAGGATTCTCTGACATTCAAAATCCAAGACTTGTGCGCATGCTCCACTTCGACGTTTCCTACTTCCTTCTTGAATAATCACTGATTGGAAAGGTTGAGTGTCATTAGAACAGGGACGAAATGGAGGTAAATGAGTGTAATTGAATGGGATTCACAATAGGATGAGATTGCTCGAATGTATTACTATTTATAACTATACTGTTAATATATGTGTGTACATGGTTTTGCGCGTATGGCGGCTGATATCAATACGTAAAGTACGAAGGAACCGTATCAGTGACTTTTTTTTTAGATCGATCGAAACGATGAATGAGAGAAAAGATCAAATGGAATTTCAAGACGTTACTTCTCTCTAGAGCCAGTTTATATATCTATATCATATTTATTGTTTTTTTTCTCATTTTCGTTGGTTATATTTTTGATTTACTTACATATTTAAAACTATTCTTGGTAACCTCTTATATCTTATTGCCTACAGAATAATACATATTACTATGTTTAATCTACGTTTTTAAATGAAATGTTTAGAAATGTTATATTTAGATCGGACTAATTTCTTTAACTTTAAAAATACACTTTGTACTACCAAGTTATCTTCTTCTGTAGATAGGTGGCCAGATGTAATGGTTGATGTAGGCGCAGAAATTGTCTGATAGCCATGAATAAGTTCTCCTGCTTGTGTGATATGATACAGTGTCCAGTTGCCACACATAGGTTCTTCCAACAGCCACCCTATTAAACCAAGGCAGTACTACCTCCATGCCAGTGTACCTGATTGACTTGTAGTTATCGTTGTCAATCTTGGCCTGGATCACACCAACAAATTTCGGAGTTCTTTTCTTAACAAAACGATAAGAGTGAGTCTTCCGAGCTGCCGTAACTTTGTAATCGCCATTAAACTCATCCAACGCTTTCTGAATCCTCTGTTCTTTCCTCAGATTGATAAACAAATACTATGTTCGTATTGGAACTTCCGGTGCCAATGCCAAGCAGTTCATGCCGTTTCCAAATTTCTGGCGGTATCAATTTTGTCATCGTGATCTGTTTCTCAATGGCGGTGGCCAACTTAGCTTCTTATACCGATCAGTCGACAAATTTGAAAACAAACAACGCGGAAGCGTGTAATTAAATGTATAAAATGCTGACAATTTCCCCAACGCGCCCTGTACACACACACACACACACACACACACAAATAAATATATATATATATATATATATATATATATATCAATTTATATATATATATATATATATATATATATATATATATATATATATATATACATACATATATATATATATATATATATATATATATATATATATAGATAGATAGATAGATAGATAGATAGCTTGTTCTGTTGATATACAAGCATATACACATATGTATGCATATATTTCAGTCTCAGCCTATGCATATATGTGTTTGTGTGTATGAGTATGCGTATGCATGTGTGTGTCTATATCAGTATATTGATCTAAATGTGTATCAGTATCTTGATCTAAATGTGTATCAGGAGGAAGTGGGAGAACAGTGAGAGACTGACAGAAATAAAAAAAATATCTCTTCCTCTCACTGTCACTCTTGCTCTATCTATCTCAATATGCTCATATTCTTTACGTTATGTAATTCAGGCCAATGTGCGGTGCCAACTGCGCATGGCCGACTAGTTCGAACGTCCACTTTCCGGTTTCGTATCTCATCGTGTCTGATGTTTCAGGAAGTTGAAATCTTGAGGTTATCTGCCTAGGGAAGCGATCCCAGCGTGTGGCAAATTTGGAACGTGCCCGAATATCATTCCACCGATTGTCTCAATCCTTGTGAGTAAAATTGAATAGACGAAAGTTTTCGGAAGTTTTATGTTGGTTGTGTTCACACGAAGTCGCAAGTCATCGTTTCAGCATACTGGCTTTGTTCAGACTGGTGATCACGCCAGATAAGGCGCTCTCTCCCAGAATCTGTATGTAATGTTTGCTCTGCATAGTTGCAGTATAAACCACACGTGACTTCTGTTGAACAAATATAAATGCGCCTGAATTGGCATTGGCTAACTGCCCTAATAGACAGGCATACTCGAATTCAAGCGACCAGTCTTCACATACGGTGCGTACATACGCTTTTGGAAAAACAACTAGGGGATATGATTTTCTTCATTTATCTTCTCAGCGAAAAGAAACATTCCTATTTGAAAGAATCCTTCAATATATATATATTGTCTATTGTAATAACCTGTAACTTCATATAGATAAGCAAGGGATTTGTCTTAAAAAAAACACAGAAACGGTATCAAAATCGGTGTTATACGTTTGAACCCTATAAGTATATAGACCATACAGCGAAGGGACACTAGTTGATTTTATGCGATACTAAAAGATAATTGCGAAAAATAGGAAATGTAGACTCCATCTTATATGGCAATGAATGCTGGACAATAACTGTATAGTTAAAGGAGAAACTTGAAGCGATAGAAATGTGGTTCTATATAAGGATGCTGAAAATATCAGGAACTTGTAAGCAACGATGAAGCCTTAATGAAATATAAAGAAAAGGTATGCTTTTAATTAACATCAGGCCTGTGAAATGTCTAGGGGAGCTTTGAAAATGTGATATTTACGAGACATATGGAAGGCAATAGGGACAGAACAAAACAGCGAATGACCTACATAAGGAGCCTGTGTACATCTATGGGAGAACAGGCTTTAAGATAGATAACCGATGGTATCAACAATCAAATTCTTATCTACGCTGACCACACAACGATTTACTCCTGTTTCGATGGTAATACTGATCAGTTCGAGAAATACAAAATTGCAGGCGATGTTCCAAACTATTTCGTGTCTGTTGTAAACTGGGGCAAAAGAGGGCTTGTTAATTTTAACGAAACCAAAACTAAACATTTCGTTATTAATCATCATAGAGACACCTCTCTGCCTCCTATCAACATGGCTAAATATATTTATCATTGTAAAATACAATAATTGTGGCACATGGCCTAAAAGTGGGGAGTAGGGTTGAGGTTGGTCATCCTTACCTATACTATACCTAGCTAACCCGATTCACGACCCATTCATTCAATACAAATAAACCAATCACTGAAAGAATTCAACCTTCAACTTTTAATCCTACATATACCACAATACCGCATCCACAAAGGGAACCTAAAAATTAACCCCATGATTTAAAATTTCTTATGTACAAATGCTCATAGATCGCCAGTGAAGAAATGCAGGCGATCTCAATACTGTATTATGCAGATCATGTGACCATAGCGAAAACGCATATTGTTATGGTCAAGTTCCTTGTATCACGGTGATAGTCCAAGGAAGAACCAATAAAGAAGACCTCGAATACAGATATGGAATAATACGGATAGATATATTAAAACATGAATATATACAGAGAGGTAGAAAGTGTTAGTACGAACAATCAGGTTTAGTAGTAATTGTCTGAACGCGATTCTGTTTCGGACTGCCTCTGACTCGATTGAATGATTCGCTCTGACTGACTGACAGACTCCTGACGGATCTTACTCCAGACTTCAGACTGAACAGTATTTAGTCACCCTACCACACGAGGGCATCATGTGGCACAAGGCCGGTTTAACATGGGATCTGCGAGCCCGTGGGATCTCCGAGCCCGTGGGATCTCCGAGCCCGTGGGCTCAGCCCAAAATATGCCGTTTGAACCCGTATAAACTGGTTCTGGGTCAGTTTACCTCCCCGAAAGAGACTTCGTCCTTCGGCGTAGCCTCGTTCGGGTTCCTCCCCGCCCGAAGGCAGAGAGTTCAACCGATCAGCCGGTCAGCCGGTCGCCCGACTTCAGACTGAACTCCCTGCTTCCTTTTGAGGCGCAGTATATTATTACGTATGGAATAGTCCATTATGTTATTACGGGTAAGGTCCTATAACACATGTAAAGAGGATGTCGCGTGGCGTCTTCGATGTGTTTTGCATTCTCTTCTACGTCCTTTATTATCTATAGTATTTCACTATACGAAATACTATTACTACGAGTATGACATGGCACCAGTATTATTACTACGAGTATGACATGACACCAGAATTATTCAAAGGTGTATTATAATTGGTATCTGCGATTACAGAGTCTCTACTATGTTGGCATAGACGAAGTATCAAGCAAGTATACGTTGTCATCACAACCATGGCAACAAATGGTCGTTTTGACGACACGTCAAAGAAGATGCTCAGTATTAAACATTTTCCGAATAACAGTTAGCGTATTCCCTTAAACACTATATCCAACAAAAGAAAGAAAGGAAGAAAGAAAGAAAGAAAAAAAAAGAAAGAAAGACGATTTTTGGAACTCCGGTCAGTTGCCATAGGCCTAGTCTCAGAATCAAGGTCAGTATTTCTAATATATCCGTTGATAAATGTTAAATCCGAGAATGAAGCAGAGAAAATTAATGGCGCAATAAGCAAAGAGTTAAAGAATGGACAATTGACATGCGATGAAACGCACCAGCTCTATTTTCATGTTTTCACATTTTTCAATAGATGGCGAACTGCCATTGGAATAATTTGATATGAAATCATCACAGATAGAATTATATAAGAGCTCGAGTGAAAATTCTTCTGTGGTTTGGGCATTTTTCCCCGGGAAGGGGTCAGCACAGCAGCTCGGTTGTAAACATTGCAAACGTCGTGATAGATTCTAGATTTTTTCGTAAATTGATTTCCCTTTTTGTCTGTAATGTCCGCCATACTCATCCATCAAAACATTCACATCTGCTATTGAAAGCAGTCAGGGACACATTTTAGACTTTTTAAATTTTTTTTTGGTGTATTTTCAGTATTTTTTCGTTACCTATCACTTGTCAAGTGATTCTATTTTGTTTACTAGATTTTATTTTAAGTTTTACATTTTTCCCACTATTCATTGTCTTCCATTTTATGTGAGAAAGTAAGGGAGTTAACTCTCTGGCTTTAACCTTGCATCTGTTTTCTTTCATATAAGAAAGCATTATATCGTTTGTTGTCTATTCTCTCCTGTGATGTCCTTACTGACGTAGCTGATTTCCATTTCGACCTTTTTTTCTTCTTTCTACCTATTTTTGCCTATTCATTTTGACTCATATTGAATATTCATCTTCTTTTTGGCAGTTTTTCCTTCTTTAATTTATTTAGTTAATCCACTCTTGTCTTTTGTTTATTTTTTCATTCTTCTTTCGTTTTCTTTTCATCTTTCTTTATTTTTCTTTTCTTTCTTAATTTTCTTTTTTTTTTTTTTTTTTTGTTCGATGTTCCTATTTGTATAGTTGTTAATTTCATTCTTTCCGTCGCTTTAATGTCTTTGTTATCTTTCTTTCATTTTTGTCACTATTTTCTTATATTTTATCTTTCTATCTTTTTTTCCATACTCTTTCTTTAGATGAATACTTTGTTTCTGTCTCACTATATTTCTTTCTTTCCCTTCTTTCATTCCTTTTCCATTTGTTGTTTTCTTTATTTTACTCATTCCTGCATCTATAATGTTTCCTTCTTTTTTGTTTCGTTTGTTTTGTTTTGTTTCTGTCTTACTTAATTTCTCTCTTAATTTAGTTGCTTTCATTCTTTTTAATGTAGTTGGCACTTTTTTTTCTAACGATTATTTTCATTCTTTCTGTTGTCTTTCTATTTTCCTACCATTCTGTCTATCTTACTTTCACTCATTCAGTTTTCCTTCGCTTTCTTTCTTTCACGCTGCTATTTCTAGATTCTTCTTCTTCCTCACTTTTATCGCTGATGGAATCTCTATGCTGAGACGACCACACTCTACACATTTTCCTTCCAAGCACTGATAGAAACAAAGAAATCACTTAGTGTACTTTAGCTCTGTGTACTTTAGCCCTGTTACCATAACAACAGTCCCGATCACTTTGATCAGACCTCATATTCTCTCCCAATATATCCATCAGTTTTTATGAGCTAATTTACCGAAATTAATTCAACTATATGTATAAAATACTATAGAGAAATTAATACTGCGAATTTATTTCATTAATATTTTGATTTCATAGAATGATTTTTCGTACGCTGGGTAATCAGTGCATGAGAATTTAAGACTAGGCTAAGAAAATATGGAGCGCTTATCTTGACTGAAGCAACGGCATGCGAGTTTTGGCATCACAATTCTCATTTATCTTCTCTTAATGCTGGATGAAAATTTTAGCATTGATTTGGTCGTCTCCAAGAACCAATAAAAGCAGAAGACGCATTTTCATTTCTGTCAACAATTCTCATGACATTGCGTTAAGTAAATTACCAATCATTAAATACAGCATATGTTTCAGTAAGAGTCAATTTCGCGTTCATGTTGGAAGGCGATATTCAGTAAACAATTGTGCGATAGTCTTCAAAATAATGTCTCGATATATTTATCACGCAGTCTTATCTCCTTTATTTACTAAGTAGATTTCCTGTTAGAGCAACAGAAAATATTGAGGTCATGTTAACTTACAAATAAAGCCATGATGATTTATTTCCTTTTTTTCTCTTGTCTCAGTTCTCTTTGCGTTTTCTACTTTAATATTTAAAATAATATTTTCACAAATGCTACAATAGAATAAATCGAATGATTAATGTGCAAAAAAACACCTGTAATGAAATATCTTACTGATTAAATATTACTTAAATATACATCGATATTTAACTGTACCTATGATGTATAAATCATCACATATACTACTTCAACTCTTCTCAATAAATCAACTTCTTTGCTAATAAGATTAAAGTCACATCATCGAAATATTTATCTATGTGCCGTGTCTTTTCAGAACGTGGAGGGATCATCGCTCTTTCCAACTTCTTAAGGTTTGTCCTTTGGCCATCCCTCCCATTCCCTTTCCCGCCATTTATTTGTACAAGCCTGCTAGATTACTCATCTGTAAAGAATCATAAGAAGAAAAATCAGATTTAATTTTATGTTAAATTCTACATTGCAAAATTTTTGAACTGCAGAAATCATCCATATAGTTTTAAACTGTGGATATTTTTACATTCGCCGCCTGGTGACTTCAGTGTCAAATTTATATTGATGTACGCTATATCAATTATATTGAGCATTTTAACCCATAATTAGATCATACCATAAAAGTCTATTTTTATCACACACACACACACACACAGAGGCACATACAGGCACATACAGGTACTCATACATACATAAACACATATAAATATATATATATATATATATATATATATATATATATATATATATATATATATATGATTAGGAGAAAAATTCACGTGCAAGGCATTAACCGGGTTAATTAATCTGTAACAATATTCATGCCCGATAAATGAATTATCAAAGCGCCTCAAATCGGATATACAGGAAGGGGGATGGAAATGGAAGATTTGGAGGAATCGAAAAAGAGAATTGTTCATCCGGGTTCATACAAAGCCATAGTCAATTTTCTGGTATATCAACATTTGGACATTACATCGGACCGTTGGTTTAACAGGTTGGTCTTGTCTGGGACGTCACTATGGCCAGCTTCTCTTCCTGACAGAGGCTACAAACATCATCAATTCATCTGTAAGGCTTAACTCTCCTTAATACTCTCCATTTTATACTGGGGCTATTATTTCTCTATCAATTCACACACATTGTTTGCCAGTTTAGCAGGATACACCACTTCATATACCACACCAGCGACATTTAAACTACTTTCCTAAAGTTAAATAGGATTGCAATAACGGGGTTTCTATTCGTGGATGTCCTGAATTTGCACTTGTTGTGCTTTTTTTATCTTGCCGTTTAGGTTATTTGTACAGGAGTAGCTTAATTTTACAGTATTTCTATTTAAAAAAAAAATAATAGGTTAGAGGTTTTGTGGAAATGCTTAGCTAACAGTTTGAAATATCCAAGTATTGACCTGACTCTAATCTTTCTTTTTTTATTTTATTTATATATATATATATATATATATATATATATATATATATATATATATATATATATATAATCATAGTGAATGGATTAAATCTGAGAAATAATATATTTTCTGTCCGTACTTTTATTTTTTATGGATAGTCTTATTTGAGAAAATTGTCTGCTTTTTTTAATTAAACATTATTTATTACATTTGCAAACTTCAAAGTTCGAGAAAATTTGTAGAGAATATGCGTCGGTAAATGCAATTAATACTGTTTAATTAAAGAACAGAGCATTTACTCAAATAAATATATCCATAAAAAATAGTGTATAAACAATATATATATATATATATATATATATATATATATATATATATATATATATATATTAAGAAAACCCCTTGAAAATAGTAACAAATGTAAACAAAATCTTACTTTAACCAATGTAATTTCAGTTAGATTCTGGACGACAATATACCGTTACTATACAATTCCAACAAAGAAAAAGTTAAAAAAATATAAATTGGAAGCCTTTTGCGTCAAACTCAGGCAAACCACTTCCAATAAAATATGCTTCAATCTAGGAGCACAAGGATTAAATACATTAGAAATGCGAGATCATTTTTCTGACTGATGATAAACTCTTTTCTACAATAAATGTTAACATATTTTCCTTTTAAACGCTAGCAACACAAAAGCTACTCTGGTCATCTCTCAGCTTTGGCCATCTTTCCTCGTAAATGATGAAAAATGGTCGAAAGCATTCGGAAGTTTAACGCTGATTTTCCCCGGTAACGAACGATATATTCAACACAAGTAGAAACAATATACAAAACTTATAATCAACAACTAAAAATATATATCTAGTAAATTATCGACTTCTTCATTGTCTGTCGTAGCTCTTAACAATTTCTTGTCCTTTGTCATACTTTGGTCTTTTCGCTGTCACACCTAATCTTTTGTTTTGTTGTTTTATTTACACGCGCTCTTTACGTATGTTATTCAGTGCATTCCTCTGTCCCTCTAGTCTTTTAATATGTTCTGTGAGTTTCAAATTTTCTTCGTCCTCTTTCGCCATTACTTGCTCTAGAAATGTCACCATTCTCTTTATGATGTTAAGTATAGGTTACGTTTTTCTTTTAATTTTTTCTAATCTTCCTCATTTCTCACATATTCAGCCCATGTTATTCTTGGCATCCTTTCACAAAACGTCTTTGAATATAACCACTATTGTATAATTCATTCATTGTGTCTATAATCTTCAAATGCCAGAATCGTTTTCTGGTTGACAGTAATTCTAATACCTTTCCATCTTGTCATGTTTCTTTGTAGCTGTTCACTTTGTCCAGTGCTGATTTCACTTCAGGTTTGAGTATGTTTGATCCTTCGATATTTTTGTTTAATGCGGGTTGTCCTCTTTCGTCGTGGAAGAATTCTCGTATGTATTCATTCAATTAATGATTCTTTCTCTGTCATAAAGTTCTTACTCTTGGATTGCAAGCATCCTATTGCTGGCCATCTCTTTTATGCTCTTAATTCTCTTATCTGCTTTATCTCTAATAACTGTTCTTTCCATTTTTGCACACAATTTTCCTTGCCTGAACCTATTATGAATTTCTTGGTGCAAATGTCCCCGATTCTATCCCATCCCATATATTGCCATTTTATTTTGTCTCCTTTTCCAACACAAGTCTTATTCAAAACAGATAACTGAAAATTTTTAAAATGATCAGCCTTCCGTCTAACATGGTCACGCCGTCGTCACATGGGCGACGCTTTCATAACGTATTCCTAAAAGTTTGTGATTATTTTGAAATGAAAAAGAAAATGAAAAGAATTCTATTAGGTTCTAAACTTCTTATGTGTATGCTTGTCGAGCATCAATCTCGCTAAAAAAGGGGAAATATTAAAGAAACCAGGTCTAGTATTCACCGTGCGTGAGATGGATATTATAATATTATATATTATAAATTTTCAGTTATCTGTTTTGAATAAGACTTGTGTTTTTATGTCCATCGTATTTGTCATATTGAACTGAATTGTATTTTGATGAATATTGTCTTGAAAAAGGTTTATTAAACCGAAACGTCAGACGTCGACATTTCTTTCATTTTAACTACATTTAAGGATTTTTGTTTGTTTTTTCAAAATTTTTCTTCATTCTGTCGGATTTATATCCATTTACACTTGCTTATATATATATATATATATATATATATATATATACTTCCCATTCGGAAAGTTCAGGAATCTGTCGTATTGCAAAGTGGTTTCTACCTTTGGTCATCTTCAATTTCTCCAGTCTCACTATTATTTTACATATCATTGGAAGGTGGTTTTCTCGCGGTCGGCACTTGTAACTGATTTGCAACGTAAAACTGCATTCCTGAATCTCACATTTATTGTCATGTTGTCGATTTTGTTTATTGATTCTCTTTCTAGGCTTCTCGACTGGTGTTCTTAAAACCAGTTTTAGTTTCATTCTCCGTCCGAAACAGCGCCCATCTTTCTATGTGCTCATTATGAGTTCAAACTCTAAATTTTTCATCATCTCACTCCTCCCCTGCATTGGCATTCTCTACTCTGTAGTTTCGGTGTAAATAAAATTGTGATAGTTATGTTCAGAAGTTTTCCTTTCAATTTGAATACCAGAAATTTTATCAGATAATTGATGGTATCCCAGAACATATTTCTTAATGTCTTTGCCTATTATAAGTGTTATGGGACCTTACCCATAATAACATAATGGATTATTCCATACATAATAAATACTGCGCCTCAAGAGGAAGCAGAGAGTTCAGTCCGAAGTCGGGCGACCGGCTGATCGGTTTAACTCTCTGCCTTCGGGCGGGGAGAAACCCGTACGAGGCTACGCCGAA